TACCAGCAGTGAACCAAGTTGCCACGTCGTCAGCTGCTTCCAGCAAGCGCACGACAAGGACACCCAGACAAGCAGCGAAGGCGACACCCTGACACTTGACTGCAGCTCAACATGCCACCGAGCAGCACCCACGAGCTGAAGGAAAGCGGAAGGCGATGGTGCCAAAGTCGAGCACAAAGCGACGTCGCAGCGGTACGTGTGTTGTTGACTGCTGTGCTCAAACAATACTAACAGCCGTGTTACTTATTATACAGATCGCGGTGCAACGCATCCTGCCCAAGTCATTCCGGATACGACTGAACAAGCTGTTCAGGATGCTACTCAAAGGATTCCGGATACGACTGAACAAGCTGTTCAGGATGCTACTCAAAGGTTTCCGGATACGACTGAACAAGCTGTTCAGGATGCTACTCAAAGGATTCCGGATACGACTGAACAAGCTGTTCCGGAGCACGCTGTGGAAAGTGAGGAAGGTCGTGAACAAGAGGCAACGGAGACTTTGGAGGGTGGTGCGACCCGTCACGGTGTTTCATTGGATGACTTTGACTCGGATGATTTTCTCGCCGCTCTGAGGCGGGATCGATTGTTTGACGATGGTGATGTTGGTGACTTCAATGCTGGTGGCGGAGATTGGTTGCTTACTCTTGACTCTGACACGGAAGGTGACGAAGATTCGATCCTTCAAGACGAAAGTGACGACGATGTTGGGGATGACGACGTAGTGGTTGATGCCAACGACGAAAGCGACGACGGAAATGTAGTTGAACTTGACGAAGTCCCAGTTGAGTTTGATCTGACTCGTGGAGACCTGGATCGCCTGCAAGCGGAGGAGTGGGACGTGTATATGGAGCAAGAAGCTGGACGGGTTCTGCATGATGCCTCACCGCTGTATGATGGACCGTCAGGCCCAACGCGAGCTGCTCTTGCTTACGCTGAAGACCCACTGGCCATATTTTACTTTTTCCTACCCAAGGAGCTCTGGCGGCGCATAGCAATGGAAACCAACAAGTATCGCCGGGACAGCATTGATACCGATTCATGGCTTACCTCACGTTGTTCCCATCGATCCGTGAGA